TTTTTGCACAACGTTTTAAATTTGTACCATCCTCAGTAGTTAGGGATATTAATGCAGTTTTGGCAGTCCATAGAATAAGAAGTGGTCACGGAAAACAAAGAAATGCTTGCAAGTTGTTGGCATGTTTTTAGTAGCCTGTTAACATACTTTGCATGAGTGAAATGAAAACAGTGTAAAAACCATCTTGGTAGTGCGTGCCCAACAGTAACTTATTATCAGGATGCAGAAATACACTGAACGTCTGTTATGTTTTCTGTTCAGATGCTGAAGTCTCTTTTCAAAGAATATGGACAAATAGAATCCATTCGATTCCGTTCCGTGGTACGTTATTTTCTCTGATGTTACATGGCATCTGCTTTTCTGACCTTACGGGATACTGTTCCTAAGGCTTCTATCTTCATTAATTTAGAAGCAGGTTTAGGTGAGTGTATTTTTACCATTAGAAGAAGCACTGGCGATATTACTGCAGAGGCACCTTTCATCACGTTTTGTTCCCATATTGTTCCCATAACAGCAGTTTGTACCATCAGAGCTGTAGTTTTTCTCTGAGAAGGCCCTTATTATTGCTGATTTAACTAGGGTATTATTAAGCTGTTTTTAAATTACAGCAGCAAAGGCATAATCATTGTAACTATGTGTACTGTATGGAATGGGAGAAGATAGTTCTCTTGGAACTCAAGAAACAGCCTAGGCCAAAACAAGCTGTATAATTTTGAGATATTTCTAGATCATCAGGAATATCCATTTGCTCAGTGTACTGGCTACATAATGCTAAGTGGCAGTGGTGTTTGTTTGACTTTCTCTTCAAGGACAAAATAGTTGTGATATGTTATCTTGTCACTGTGATTACTTAATGAAAGCTTTTTTTTATCTTAAAGGTTCCAGCAGAAGTTGCTTTATCCAGAAAGTTAGCAGCCATAAAGTAGGTTCTGCTTCTGAGTTTTGTGCTTTGTTTTTCAAAGACAAAATGTTTTTTTTTAAAGTGCTTGTTGTTCATTGTTTTGCTGTTGCCTTTTTTTTTTTGTCTTTTGTTTCTTTGATTTTTGTAATACACTTTGACAACTGATAAGGAATTATAAGCCTAGCGTTAGCAGTAAATAATTATGTTAGGTTGCATTTCTTATATTTTAGGAAGGAGGTAGACAGTAGTTGTCCTTAATTCCTTTGGGTGTACTTATGAGCTGAGGAAGCTGAATTGGGGTCCATACACATGCTGTATAAGATGTACAGTTGGAACTCTTTTCAACAGAATGTGCTTTACAGGAATTGAAGTTGCTACTGCGTGCAAAACAGGGGAGATGTCAGTTGTTTAACAAGAAGTGCTTGTGCACAGCATAGTATCAGAATTGTTTAAAAAGTGTCTTTTTCCCATTCCAGGCGTAAGGTTCATCCTAACGTGAAGTACATTAATGCTTATGTCGTGTTTAAAGAAGAACATGCTGCTGTTAAGGCTCTCAAAAAGTAAGTCTCAGCTTTGTTCCTCGTGCCTGATGAGAAGGCAGATATGCAGAGTATTTAAAGATAAATTTAATCTGCCTCCTGTTCTTTGCTTGTATTAAAACAAAGATGGTATTTCAAGCTTGAAAGTAAATTTGCCTTTTGCAAAAATGCTATGCAGTGACTTTGTAAATGAAGCAATGATTCACTGTTTAATTTTAAGAACTTTTTCTTTTGATTACAAAAGAAATGGAACAGAAGTTGCTAGTGGATTTCACATCAGAGTTGACGGTGCATCAAACAACAGTTTGGTAAGTAGTGTGTGACACAAACTCACGTTCTGTGTTTTGCTGTAACAAATGACTTAGTGGCTTTCAACCTCTTGTTTTCTTTAGCATGACAACAAGCGATCTGTATTCTTGGGAAATCTCGCGTATGGTAAGTAAATTGGAACATCTTGCCTTGTTGTTTAGTGCTTATGGAATACAGTGACATAGGATTCTTTTATTTATTGTTTGAGGTACCATGTTTAGGTAGCTAACTATCATTTGTTGGAATCTTTTAAAATAGCACTTTTATTTTTTGACAGAGGCACCAAAAGGGCTGAGTTTTCAGCAGGTGCTGCACATTAATTGTTTTTCTTCTGTTATATTTCTAGAACTGCAAGCACTTCTATTTCTTATTGTTACTTCACATTTCTTAAATAAATATGACTAAGCTGCATATGTCACAGCTTAATAAACTGCCAAATGCGTGCTTGTACTTGTGAACCACTTCCAAGTGATGCACAGGGACAGCTTGTAATTTTGATGTTCATCTGTGAGCCACAGGATGAGTGACTCTGTGCAGGCAGCTGTTTGCTGTGAGTTGTTAGCTGAGTGGAGGTTCTCGCTGTGTAGTTCAGGTCAGTGCTTAATGAATATTCAGCTGCTTCTGAGTAAATGAAGGGATCACCGTCAGGTGTGGTCCATGTGAGGGTATTAATGGAGTGAGGATGCTTGGGATAACTTACTTTGGGGTGTGGTGTGGGACGAAAGGCCTGTCCTGTACCAATAACTTGATAAACAACCAGTACTGTTAAAACTTGACCTGTCTGTAAAGCTGGAGAAGTAACAGATCTGAGTATGTTAACATTTCTCTGCTGTGTAGAACTTGTGTTGGTACTGTCCTTCCATGCATCCTGCAGGAAAAGAGCAGTTTGGACATTGATAGTAATCTGGAAATTACTTCAGCACCTTTAACTTTTCTCAGCACATCAAATTCCCATAAAATTAAACCCTCACTGTTAAATTCAGACCCTCCCTAGTGCAGAGGCATATCCACGTAAAGAGAATTACTATAGAATAAAGTGTACCTGTACAGAAGACTGTAACCAGTGTTTTAGTACTTTTACATCCCACTTGTCTTTCTGGTTGCATAGGCATGAGACTGAGAAAGCCTCACGTGTGTGACCATTATCAGAATAGTCGTATTAAATCCCTTTTCCCCCATTCAGATAACATTTAGTCCAGTCACTGAGCATCAAGTTTCAGGAACTGCCAGCTCAGGGTTTGTATCATCAGTATTAATTCTCAGAAATAGATTATGGCATAAGAAGGAGTTTCAAAAATGTTGCTTGAATCTTCATTTCCACTGTGTTCAACCCATAACTGAAATTATTTGAAAAAATGTACTTTGGTCTTCATTCTTATTTGTGATTTGTATTGCACTTTTCAAAGGTAGGGGACCAATGAGTGTCAGAGGAAACAGTCCTTATATAAAGTCCACAAGCACCAGCATTTGCAAACCACTTTCAAACCATACGCAGTGATGGCTTAGAATTTCCACACTGTCTACAGTGTTAAGCTGTTGGAATTTTCTCTGAAACACTGATATTTGTGAACTTAATTTTATAGGTCCTGAATGTGTTTAAAATCTATTTGGATGCGGTGCTCAGGGACATGACTTAGCGGAGGGTTGTTAGTTAGGGTAGTATGGTTGGGTCGTGGTTGGACTCAGTGATCTTTGAGGTCTTTTCCAGCCTGAGTGGTTCTGTGGTTCTGTGATTTAAATACGTTTGCGTACCTAAATTGGTAAATGGTTTGGATTTAGGCTAGGCTTCTAAAGCTGTCTCTCTGAAGAGACGTGTCTTGCTGTGCTTGCCTGCAGACATCAGTGACAGCGCTGTGCGAGAGCACTTTGCTGACTGCGGAGATGTAGTGGCGGTGCGAATTGTGCGCGACAGACAGAGCGGCATGGGCAAAGGCTTTGGCTACGTTCTGTTTGAGGTATGTATGAGTGTCAGACTTCTGGACACTTGTCCAAATCGGAATTGGGAATTGCTGTGATGGCCTTACTAACACTTGTTTTTTTTAAATACGTACGCGATGTTAGACGGTAGCGCTGTTTTGTGTGTTAAAAGTAGCTTCCTCCAGACCTGTGGCAATTATTTTAGGTTGAGGACAAAGAAAAGTTGCAAAACGCTGATGAAAGAAATTAACTGTAAAGGAAAGATGTAATAGAGAAAAAAAACAAATTCACATGGCAAACAAAACACAGCAGTGTTTTCCCATTGGTTGTTTCCAAATGTAAGTGAATTCTTTCCTGCAGCCATTTCTGCAGCTCCCTAAACACTGCTTTTTCATGCTTTTTCTCCCAGATTCATCTTACTCAGTTTATTTCCTGCAGCCCAAGATCTTCTTTGTCCCCAGTTTCTCTCTCTCTCCTATGATTGGTGTAAGGTGTTTCAGAGTTCCCTTTCAAGAACACATGCCCCAGGGCATAAGCCCTGTGGGTGCTTGAGCACTTCTGACCAGATTTGACATTATGGAAGTAAAGGCAGTCAGGTGCTCTCCATTGTAAAAACCTGCCTGACAGAATTAAAGAAAGGCAGCCTTTTATTTGGAAGTCATCAACTGGAGTGTGCTGCTTTTCAAGTGGATGTCTGTTCTCACAGAATACAGATGCTGTACATCTCGCTCTGAAGCTCAACAACTCTGACCTGATGGGACGAAAACTCCGTGTGAAACGCTGCTCTGAGAAGGACAAAGCCCCACAGAAAAGCACCACCAATCGGTCTCGCGGCCCTAAGGACAGAGCTCAAACCACGCTGAAAAACAAGTCAGGCTCTCATGATTCATTTGTTGGCGAAAAAGCAAATCCAGCCAAAAAGAGCACCAAGCCCAAAAGACTGAAAAGCATTAGTAAAAAGAAAGGTGGGAAAAACAAATAGCCTTTTGAACAGCTAGCTATCTATGTTAAAAAAAAAAAAAAAAATAAAAAAATTGGTTCTTTTTAATAAAGCCGATGAATACAAGGGCGTTCCGTCGCGTCCTGTCCCTGTCCTTACCGTGCCTCCACCGCGCCGCCCTCTCCCTGCCGGTAGGGAAGAAGGGCGCCGGAAGGGTGAGGACTGCGCGGAGCGTGCCGCCGCTCGCGCATGCGCCGCGGGCCCCGCCGCCCGGCAGGCACCGAGGAAGCCGCCCTCCGGCGCGGGCTGATGACGCAGCGGAAGCGAGGCGGGGTCCTTTCTCGCCGCCCGCTCGCCCCAAGGTGCCTGCGGAGCTCGGCGCCGGCCTTGCGGAGGGCGGGGGCGGCGGCGCCTTCCCCGCGGCGCCGGGCACCATGATGGTGGGCAAGACCGGCGCCATCGCCGCGGGCCTCTGCGGGGCCCTCTTCATCGGCTACTGCATCTACTTCGACCGCAAGAGGCGGAGCGACCCGAATTTCAAGAACCGGCTGCGGGAGCGTGAGTGTCCGGGCCGCCCCTCCCCCGCCCGGCTCCCGCGCGGGGCGGCGGCACGTGGCGGCTCCGCGGCCCTCCCGGCCCGGCTTCTGCGGCCCCGCGCTCTTCGGCCCCTGCGCCGCGTGGTGTGAGCGGCTAACGCGGGCTGTGCGCGCCGGGAGCGCGGCTTGGGGTTAGATCCTTCGCCCCGTGCGGCGATCTGTTCATCCCGCACGCTTCGACGGGGCCTGTCGCTGCCGCGCTTTACGTGGCGGCGCTCGTTTCCCGGCGTTCGGAGGGCGATCGGATAAAGCTGCGGTCTGATCGCGAAGCCGCTCCTGCGCTGCGGCGTGAGCGAACGGCGGCCTTCGGACATCTTAGCCGCCGCATTCCAAACCCTCCTGGTGGCTGCCCCCTGGCCTCCAGGCATAAGAACGAATGCCAGAGCGAACCGGTGATTGATCCAAAACGCGGAGCTCCTGTCCTGTGGCTCCTCGTTATTTCACGTCTTCAACATTTAAATAAATGAGCGGTTGAGGAAGTTTTAAATTTAGCTTTACTGTGAGAGCGAGTTGTGCGAGGTATTTGAATAACGAGAAGCAGGCTGAGAGCTGTGGCTTGATTCTACCCCGAGAATAGGTGTGTTCCTCCAGTCACTTTGCTGAAGGTCAGGAATCACTCTCAAAGTAGATTTTCCTAGCAAGCAACTGTAATGTGATCAGCACATTTTGCTGATGAAAGAGCCATTGCTCGTGATCTGGGATCGCAGAAGCAGTTTTGTTTCCTCCAGGTACTTTTTGTCCCACAGTGCAAGGTTGGCAAATTTCAGCATAGTAGACTGGTATTTGTCTTGCATGGAAAACTGGGGTTTGGAAGAATCATTGTCTGCATAGGCTGAGCCATTGGAGCAGCTTTAGAAGAGGGCCACGAAGATAATCAGAGGGCTGGAGCATCTCTTTTCTGAAGAAAGGCTGAGGGCACTGACCTTGTTCAGCCTGGAGAAGAGAAGGCTCTGGGAAGGCCTTGCTGCAGCTTTCCAGTACTTGAAGGGAGGTTATAAACAGGAGGAGGACTGGCTGTTTTCATAGTCTGATAGTGACAGGACAAGAGGGAATGGGGAATGACTTTAAGCTGAAAGAGAAGAGATTCAGGTTAGATGCTAGGAAGAAATTCTTTACTCAGAGTGTGGTGAGGCCCTGGCACAGCTGCCCAGGGAAGCTGTGGGTGCCTCATCCCTGGAGATAACCTAGGGTAGGTTGGATGGGGCCCTCGGCAGCCTGAGCTGGTGGGGGGCAGCCCTGCTTACAGCAGTGGGGGAGTTGAGGCTGGATTATCTTTAAGGGCCCTTCCAACCTAAGCCAGCCTGTGCTTCCATGATACGATTCTATGCGTTTCATAAAATTTGTACAGAAGCTCTGGCAGGGATTTTGCATCCTGTTTGTTTTCATTTTCCGAGTTCTCATCAAGTAAGATTCTGAACAAATCTTACACTTGTTCCATGAACGCTGCTTAACCTTGCTGGATTAGAAATTTATGTTTGCTTTAGAAGTGAAAGAAATCCGTCGTGGTTTGATATGGAGTGGCTGCTATTTGGAAGACAGAACAGAAAGATAGAGATCCTTAGCCACAACACACTGGGCAGCTTTCAGTTGTAAGGCTTTAGAGAATGCTCAGGGTTTTTTTTCTTGTTCTTTAATACTGTAATTTTTCCTTCAGTGTAGGTGCAGTCAGTGACCTGGTGATCATGACAGCATTTTTAGTGCTGGATGGCAAAGCTTGATCTGTAGAATTTTTAACAAGCAGGATCAAGTGCAGCAGCCAGTTGCAGTTCCTTGGATGAAGATGTGCTGTTTAACAGTGAAATTTAGAGCAGGTCGTCTCAACTAGTGTTCTTAGGATAAGATTATTGTTTCAGCCTCTCTAGTGCAATGTCAGCAAAGCCTGGGAGGGACAGAGCTCCCATGTATCAAAGGATTGATTGCCTGCTGCATTTGGTCAAATACCAGCTGGCAAACAAAGAACCGATAACGCTTTTTGCCATCTCGGTTGTAATTGACATCCCTTTGTTTAAGCAGCATCAGGACCAAAGTCTGTGTTGCGAAGGCACGCAGTAAATAAAAAGAAAGCAGCCAGACTGGGATTTCAGGAGATGAACCAATTTCATGAGAGTCTGCAAGAACTCCTGGACTTTGGTTTTCTGATGTCTTAATCTTGTTTATTTAGTACACACAGCGTTCTTAATTAGTTTTTTGTCCCTAGTTTTGGTGCTTAGTCTTGGGGCCAAAGGATAGTAAAGCTGGAAGCACTGGGAGCTGGTCAGTTCTTGCACAGCAGATGAGAGCAGAAGAGGTAAATGGTCTCTGTTTTTGTGGGACTGGCTTCTGTGCTGCTGGTGTGGTGCATGGAGTTCTGCCACCACTACCTGAGCATCAAGTTACCCACTGGTTTGCATTGGAAACTTTCCATGTACAAGAGCTGGGCCTGAAAAACCTGTGAGGTCTGTGCGGCACAAGAGCTGGTGTGTTGTATTAGAACAACTGTCATGCGTGCTAATGCACTTTAAAGCTCTGTGCATAAAATTGGGAGCGGGCAAACTGAAGTCACCAACTTTTAGAAGGTGAATTTGTATTTAATAAAATAGAAAACAATGGTATTGTTACAATAGCAAGGGTTCTATATGACACAATGTTTTTCTGTGTGTAATGATGTGAAATTTTATATACAGGTCAGTATGCTGTAGAAACTCAAGGGTGAGGAGTTAGGAAGGTACCAAGGAAGATGGAAGGATGATCCATGCGGTTAGAACGTGCATTCCCTTCATGAAAGGAACATTTCATCTCACCCGTAGATTTCATGTTATGTTGTCACTGCTAGGAAATGATTTCCTGGACATCTTCCTCGTGTGGACAGTCTTGAATTCTTAACTCACATCCATTAAAATTTTTAGTCATATTGTTCAGAAGTATTTCCAACGTGTAAAATTGTGTCAGAAGGCAGACAAGGGCTGTGTGGCAGCTGCCCAAGGTAGGTGGGTGTTCATGGAGCTGACTCTGAGGACCAGGAGCACAGTTACTTGACTGTGGGCCATACCAAGTTACATCAAGTTACATTGGTGTAACTGTTTCAGTTGATGAACTGAACAACAAAATGGTTCTAAGGAAATCACCAGTATTACTGAACTTAGGTTGGGATAATTATTCTTGTATGCATAACCACTATCATAAAATATTGTTATACCTGCCCAGTTGCATTAAAAACAAGCTACATATCATTTTAATTACATTAGCTGTGCTGGAATGCTGCACTTCTCTGTTGCAGACCAACTTTATGTCTTCAGGTTGAATGATTGAGCCTGTAAATGTTTGTTTTGCCTGTCACCATTTGCTCTCCTCACTTATTTAGTTTCAGGAATGTGTGCTCTGGTAATGCTTTTGCTGTGGGACAGTGAGATCCTGCTCCTATGTAACTAGTTCCCAAACCTCTGCTAAAGCAAAGCAGCTGCTATTCTGCTGGTGGTGCAGTGGTGTATTTCAGAATGAATGTGGCTTAACATTGGGTAGCCTTGCCTTGTAGGCAGTTCTGTGGCTTATGATTGCTGGAAATTCACGTAGAAGAATCCTGTATTAGCTTAATTCCCTTTACTTCTCAGTGCATGAGGAAGATGTGAGTACAGGCTCTGCGCAGTTGGTGTTGAGGATAGGCAGCAGGAGAGGAATTGCCGTTCTGAATCAATGTGCCAGCCCTCATTAGACCTCTGAATGGTACTCTGTTGCAGAGAGCAGGTTGCATTCTTGTGTTGAGTCCTCAGTATTTGGAATATATTAACGTTTTCTTGTTTTGAAATTGACTTTGACTCATTCACTTTATAGAGCTATCATCTGAAGTCTTTTTAAACTGCAAATTAAAAAACACGTGTTATTATTCTTACAGGAAGGAAGAAACAGAAGCTTGCCAAAGAGAGAGCAGGGCTTTCCAAGGTAATACTGTGTTCAGTAATGCAGCACTGTTTTGAAAAAGGTTTTATTTGTATCAGGCTTGCTTGTGAGGTTTGTTTAGAGGGCGACTTCTCTGTTTTGATCCCCACATTACAAACCTTTCTGCAGATATGCAGCCTTTAGATTTTTTTTAAAGCTTTCACAAATAACCATATGAAAATATGCCATTCCTTTTCTGAGTCAGGTGGAAAACCATAGAAACCATAACATTTCCTGTGTGACTTGAAGATGTTTTCCTTTTCATAGTGGGTCCACAAGTACTTTCCAGATGTAAGAAACATGGATGAGATAGACTTGTAGCTAAACTTGGGAGATTGTTGTGGTACAAATTGAATTTGCTAATCTGCTTTCTTGTTGCCAATGGTTCCTTTAAGAAGAGAGAAATTTATCCTAATGCATTCCGAGGGCTGTGATGAACATAACACACTTTGGAAATTATGTTTGCTACAAAACTGTATACTTAATAAACCAAGTAGAGGTATTTCAGACTCTGTCCCTCTATGGATGTATAATGCAATGATTGGAGACTTGAGTCTGATTTTCAATATTGCTGTGCTTATGTTTATCTTAGTGGTGATACATACAATTCTTTTTTGAGTTTCCATGTAAACATATGATTGTATTTGTTTGGTTTTGGCTGAGAACATTTTGTGCTGAATTATTAACTAAAGTTTAAGGGCCAGCTTCAGTTTTACTGTGTGTGTTACAGCTGCCTGATCTGAAAGATGCTGAAGCTGTTCAGAAGTTTTTTCTTGAGGAGATCCAGCTTGGGGAGGAACTACTAGCTCAAGGTAATAGCATAATTTCTTTTGAAGGGTAAGTGGTAAAAATAACATTTTTTAAAAACCTTTTGCTAGATTTCTGTCACTGGGGAGTCAATTGATCCTCTCTTAGGTTTGGTTGCTTTTTTCTAACCTTCTGTGTTCAGAAGATTCAACAAGGGGAGGAGAAAAGAAATGTGGTTTAATTCTAAGTTGTTCAATCCACTGTTGGTGGATGTTTTTTGTAAATGCTTCATGCTGTGGAAGAGGTTTGTTCTCCAAACGTTATGATTTGTCACACAGGTGAATATGAGAAAGGTGTTGATCACTTGACCAATGCCATTGCTGTGTGTGGACAGCCGCAGCAGCTACTACAAGTTCTACAGCAGACTCTTCCACCACCAGTGTTTCAAATGCTTCTAACTAAGCTCCCTACAATAAGCCAGGTATGTGAAACACTCTGTGTTGTTGAGGTTGGAAGGTAACTGAGCTTCTTCTGTCACGTGCTACGTTAGCCTTGGGTATTGGTTTTTATGATTGATTTTCTTAAATGTTCAGTTAGACAAAAAGGTTTTTCACATGGAACAAAATATGAAAATGTATGGAAAGTATTGCATGGCATTGATAGCAAACAAGTTAAAATAGGAATACAAAAATTCTCTTATGCACAGAGTATGCTAAGCTATTAAAGTAGAGACAACTGTGGGCATCTTACTGCATAAGCAGATCCACTGTTTCCCAGATGGAAGTTGGGTCTGAAAAAAAAGGTAACTTTCTTGCACTGGGTCTTGAATCTCAGCTTTTTTAAAATGACATGTAAGTATCTGTAAGTGCTATAAAAGTCTGTCAGAATTAACCTGTTGGTTTTGGTGGCTATCAACACGGAATGTTAATTAACACCAAAGCACTTGACAGTTTTAGAAAGTCTTCCAGGTGATAAAAGTGCTGGTAGCTGTGTATATAAAATGCACTTCTTTTTAGACTGATTACTGTGCAGGTAACATTGATAATCTGCTAGCAAGAGAATCTTGGAATTCCAAGGGAACTCCCTCAGGATGTTGTCTCACATGAAGCAGACACTCTGTGTTTATCAGTCAGCTGTCATTACAGCTCAGGTGTGGTTACATTTCAATTTAAGGTTCTAATTGTTAGTAAAAGCACTGAAAAGCATCAGCTAAATGAGATATAAAGGAGGCAGTGGAGCAAAAACATTTAATGAGAGAAAGCAAAAACCATAGATGTCACAGAATACATCATAGAATGGCCTGGGTTGAAAAGGACCACAATAATCATCTAGTTTCAACCCCCTGCTGTGTGCAGGGTCGCCAACCACCAGACCAGGCTGCCCAGAGCCACATCACTTATCTGACTTCAGCTTTGGTAGCTACTGCAGTGTGTTACTTCCACAGAGGTGGCTTTAAAACCTTACGTCAAATAGATTACAATTTTTAACATTAATCAGGTTTCTCAGTAATCACACAGCTTAATTTTCAGTGTAAAATTACATTGCTTGATAATCAGTTGCCTACTGTCAATCTTATATAATTGTGAATGAGTTTTTCTCCTTCTTACAGAGAATTGTAAGTGCACAGTGCTTGGCTGAAGATGATGTTGAATGAGGTCACACAACAACAGGGGGAAAAAGTGTTTTCTTACCCCAGAAGATGAGCATCAGTAGGGGGATAAAGGGGCAAACATAGTAGTTAATGGACTGTGTACCACATCGGGTTCTACCAGAGTTAAAATTAACTTTGTGTAGGTGGGTTTCACAGGATTTTATTTATTATCCCAGTGAAAAGTGTATTTTGATAAAAATTCATTTTATAAATACACTGTGTTGAGTTATCAAAGTATCACTAACTTCATTATTATTAAAATATGCAGTTGTAATGTTGTACATATAAAGACGTAAAGCTACAACCTATTGAAAACCCAATGCTCATTTTTTGAAAAAAAAAAGAAAAAAGAATTAAAGAAAAAAGTTATGGCAATAAAGATTTATCCACACTTGTGTGTCCCTATAGTACTGCTTTAAATGTCAGAACGTTTGGGTGTCAGAGCAGGGCAAATGATCTAAAATAGCATTTTAAAAAAACCAAAAGTGTTATGACGGGTCTTCCAATGCTTTTAGTTAATTCAAAACCTCATGTAATCCCCTGAGAAAATAGGCATGTGATCGTTTAAACAGTAACTGATCACATTAAAAAGAAATGCAAATCAGAATGGTAATAGGTGACTTAGCTGCTGGAGGAATGAGAGATCTGTTTGTCAGGAACAGTAACACCTGTAGTGATGCATGTCAAAACCAAATCTGCCAAAAAGGAACTTCTGTTAAAGCACTTGTGTGAAGTAAAGCTGTTTATAATAGAACCTTGGGCATATTTTCGGAGCATAATGATATATTTTTTTTGAAAGCGTTCAACCTTTTTGTAAAATAATTAACATTTCAGTCTCTAATTGTTAAGATGGTAGAAAATATTTAGCAGTCTTTGGCATTTGACTTGATTGTTTTGGTGCCGATTCAAATTACAAAGGTAAGATGATGACATCCCCAGGCTACACTAGCTGAAAGTGCTGGAATTAGAAAGAAGTAAAATATCAGAATGAGAGAAAACAAGGAAAATATATTGACTTAAATATGTTTTCAGAATTCTACTACTCATTTTCCATCAATAGGGTATTTTGAATTTCAATTTAGAGCAGACTAGTTTCTGCCATTTTCTGTTTTTGTGCTAAGGCCACTCTCATGGCAGAAAAAAAAAAAGCAATTAAAAAAAAGCAATTAACAGTGTGGCTTAATGTTTTTGGCATTATGACTTGTTTCAGTTTCATGAAAAGAAGAGAGAAGAATGCTTTGGTCTAATGGTTACATTAATTAAATGTCTAATTTGATCTAATGTTACATTAATAGAAAGGTACTAGATGGCATAGTCTGAGTAGAAGAGAGAGGCTCTGAAAGCACTCTGGCTAACGTTCCCATATATCTTTCCCACTCCAGCCTGCTGTATGTTTTTGTAAAGGCAGATTCTTCCAAAACGGGACCAAAGTTCCAGAAATTGCCTTTCAGAGTCTTTGAGAGGTTAAATGGAAGGTTCATGGTCACCCACTTGTTACATACCAAAACTTGGGAGTACAAATGGCTTTTGCTGAGTCCACCAGCTTGGACAATTCTTTTTGCTGTGGAAGAGAAACTTCTCCACTAATTCTTTGAAAATACAGTTTCCCAAAGTTTGAGCTGCTGTTCAATCTTTCTGTAGTGCATATTAAAGTTTATAGCTGGTAGGAACAAAATTTCTTGAACAGCTGACTATAACTTGGTCCTTTTGTTGTTCAGGTGCCATCAGGTAGAAGTAAAACTTAGCCATCATCTTCAGGTGACGATGACTGGTTTCCTCTTTTAATTTGAATTAGAGATATAAAGTTATTCTGCTAATAAGATATTTAATAAAAACACTGTGAAGTAGTAGAAGGTTCTGTGCTTATGGGGTGCAGCTGGACTATTTGGCGGACTTCGCCTTTTACATTTTAATTTTAAAGGTTTGGAAAAATTCACAGATTATGCTGACAGAACTGCTCCCATATTTACCTGCTGTCCTTAGCGGTGGTGGCAATTTCACTGTAAGATCTTTTTGGCTCATCTTTTAGCTTCTTATGGTAGATCAAGATTCCTTAAAACTCAAATGATGTAAGGCACCCCTCCTTCAAGACTGAATATTTTTTTGTGCTCCTTGGTATAATGTTGCCACTTTGAATTCAAAGTTTAGCTTACAACAGTGCTTTCCTGAACTAAGTGTTTTAGCAAATCTTTCTGTCAGTTCCTTTGATGGAAGACTTGGTGATAGCCTGATTGTAACTACGGAAGTTCATTGCTTTAATAGTTGTTATAGGTACCCGTACTACTTTAAACCTTTTTAGTTTTCTTGATCCTGAAAAACTAGATCTGAATGACATTTTTAGACTGTGGATTTAAATGAAGCCTTAAGAAGTACCGATATTCTCAAATTCTATAATCCTAAAGTACCTGGCTAGTATGATGATGCAAGCTCTGATACCTGATTTGAGTGCCTTGGCTAATAGGGTGGGAATGCGGAATCCTTTGAATAAGACTGATATATTTTATTTTTTTTTTCCCAAAAATCTAACATAAAACTTTATGAAAGGTGTCTAGGATGGGAATTTGATGTTGCTCCAATAATGGCGAGCTCCTGCTGTTGTAGCTAGCATGCACAGCCTACAGATATAAGAGGCTCTAACTTAAAACTTGTTTCAGACACAAGCAAAGGTGCAGGTCATTGAAAGTGCAGTGGTAGTAATGCATCTTATTGCATCAGTAGTAGTAATGCTGCTGCCTTAGCTGTATACAGTACTGTATTCCTTTTTACCTGTGCAATTTAAAACAAGGTGGAAGTGAACTATTCAGTTGTGGATTTGCTGCTGGCAGTCTCACAGCTGCTGGTAAATGACATCTGTAATTGTGCTTCGCTGCAGGTAAGGCTACTGTTTCTCTCAGAGCCATCTTCTGCTCTGTAGTGCTCCAGGAATGAGGCACTTGGTTTCAATGCATGTGACCACTCTGAGAATTTCTCATAAAGGAGGTCTGTTAATTTTGTGTTAGGAAGTCTCCTGTCACCAGTTATGAGTTTCTCTGACAGCTTTTATAGAAAAAAAAAAAAACAAGCCAAAGCAAAAAAAAATCCACCTAACAGCCTACAACCAACAGCTACTTTCATGATTGTACTTTCTTTCATGTCTCACCATTAAGTTTTTTAGATAGCAGGATCAAATCCAAAACCAGAGTGATCAGGCACACACTGAATCATCTGGCACTAATTTCCTTACCCTGGGGTATGACGGAATATTATTTTTGCCCATAACTTCAAAAATGGAGAAGTCCCAGCCCTAGTCCTGCTGTGTAGGAGATTAGCAAACCATCATCAAAGTAAAACTCGAGCTGTTCGTGCACCCAGAACAATCTTTCTAAAGTTTCATTTGTATATCTGTTGATGGTGTGTTGAAAGTCCCTTAGGCTCAACAACGTGACCGTTGTGTTAAAATTAATATGAGTTAAATCTCAAGGGAGTCTTTGAAGTGGTCAGTAAGTGCTTTTAGTGTGTTTCAAAGGCATGTTGGACGCTACGCCCAAGCTGAGTTTTTTGAACAATGCAGGTATGAAAAAGGTTGATGTGAAGAATATAATTTTGTCAAGGTTTCTGTTGTACCCAAATCTTGGTTTGGTTTTCAGTTTGTGTGCTTACACTGACCAGTACAGATCATGTTCTTGTTTGGGGAAGGACTGAAAAAAACACCTGTCTGCGTAGCAGTCATATTTGACCACAAATCTGTCTTGCAAAGAGCTGAAACATGCTTAATTCGTAAGGACAAGTAGCTTTTAGGCACTGCAGAGACTAAGCTTCTGATGCAGGTAGCAATACTTGCTCTCTGCAGTTGGACCAAAATGAAGCTTCCCAAAGATGTGGGCATTCAGTGCTGTTCTCCTGTAACATCCTGTGTGTGAATGTGTGAATGAAACCACAGAAAACAGCTGGCCCTTCTGTGATATTTCCGTACCAGGCTGCCCAGCCTACTAGAGCTAGGTAATGTGCAGGTTCTTTCCAAGTGCAGTACTTTCTGTTTGTGCTTAAAAACAAAGTCAGGGTCTTCGTGTCCCTGAAATAGGGCCTTACAGGTGCTACCCTAACAGATTATATACTGTTTATTATTTATTGTCATTAGACAAGGTGACCACCCTCTGTGTTTCCTGATCACTGCTGTAACCTAACAACCATGAATTCCTAAAGGCTTGTATGCTCTAAGCTTTTGTCTTTAGAGGTGTAATTCCAGTTCCTGGTTTGTGAAGGTCAGGCCTTGATTTAATGGCCTGATAGATATGTGTCTTGGGGCTTTTACTCATTTCCCTTGCACTCTGAGGATGTCCTTGTATCCTGGTCTTTGGGATGAGGGTGTCATTGGTGCTCACCCATTCTGCTATGGTCACTGAATGGGGTGCTGCTGCTCCTAAAACAGTGTTGCTGCAGTGCAGCTTATGTGGCTTTCAAGTATCAGATTTCTACTCTGCATGGGGACAGGAAACAGCTGCTGCCAAGTAGTTCTGCCTCTTCACGACTTGGGCCCTTACAACTGTGAAAAACTGATTTGGTCGTACTATCATTTATTTGAGCAGGTCTTAATCTAAACAGCAGAGGGCAGTTTTGCACATCTGTTTTGTGCAAGCTCATCCTGCAAAATCCTAATTTTCAGAATCTTCACGTCTGGAAGGGTGTTGCAATGCAGCATTTTGTCCAAACAGATTTGATACAGTGTATGATATGTGACCAGTGGGGGCAGCAGTGGCATCTGTTTCTACTGACACCCAATTTTGGCATTTTAAATCCTCACATGTTTGTGGCGGTTATATAATTACAGCCATTTCCCTTCCCTTCCATCCCTTAGCCCAAACCAGGTATATAGGGAAGCCACCTGCATTGTGCCACTTAAACCATGCCAGAAAATGCAACTGCATGTCATTCCCTGACACATCAGAGAAGGATTCCCCCTGCCCAGATGTGATTTTTCTGGATAAGCTGAGTGAAATGAGAGCTGTCAGCTGCTGTAGGGGCGGAAGAGAAATATACGGCTTTAGCCTGGAGTTGGGGTTAACCACCTCCTTTTCCTCCCACCTCTCACCCCCCCCTTCCCCCACCCAAAAAAAAGCAAAATGTTGGCATTAGGGTGCAGTTTTGTTGCAATCCTGTAGCTGATGTGGAGGAGCTGGTAGGCTCTCCGATGCCTAGGAGGCAGCTATTTGTAGCAGAATGGCACTCTGGCTTAAGACCAAATCATAACCACTCCTGTGCTTCTGAAGTGCTGTTTCTGTGCTTTGTGGTCATGTTTGCAGGGGAAGGTATATGTTGGTACTGTAAGTGTAAATGGAAGTGCTTGCCCCTGTATTATCCATCAGCAAGCATTTTTCTAGACATTTCACTGGTTATTATGAAATATTTCAGAGTCTGCTTAAAGCATAGCAAGTACCTAGAGAAAGTGAGCTGTTCAATAAAAGAAGCCATCTCTGCAAACCAAACTTTTCTCTCCTTAGGTCAATCTGGATGTGTTACACCCTCTAAGGTAGCCTGAAAGACATAGAAATTCGCTGTAACAAACAAATTCTTGCCCGCTTTGGCATGTATGTAAAAGAGCATTTCCTGGAGCTCTGGAACAACCTGATTAGCATCTTTTGTTGTATTTAAAATGTTTAATTGGAAGTAATGTACTTTCCGCTGTGATGATTAAAATGACAATGATTATTGCATGAATTTGTTAATTATAATGCAATGACTAATTAAATGGAGAAATGGAGAAAAGGGATTCCTGAGCAAGCATGTTCTTTGAGAAAGTCTCTGCTGGTGTTTTTAATTGATAGTGCATGTGTAATCAGTTCATACCAGTATCTCGTTATTGATGGGAATGGTGTTTGGTTCTGTTGGAAATTTACTGTCATGGCACATTGACCTGGTGTTATGCGATTGCTTGGTCCTGTAAGTGAAGAATACCAACTTGTAGAATGAAGGAAATGTAAGGCTTTGTATATATAATGAAGAGAAACTGCAACTATTCCCAGGTTGTAGCCTCCATGTTTATTGAGTTCTTCCAGCTTGGGTGTTTGCTATAATGGCACTCAGCTCAATTTGCATAAATATGAGGGGTTGCTGTTTGCTTTTCATTTGCTTTTATCTCTCCATCTAAAGTTCTGAGCATTAACATCAGGCCCCTTGGCTTATGTTAGAAGTTGTCTGACAAAGCTACGAGCCCTTTTTCACTTCTCTGTTGGGATGTCATCTACCGGCCATTGGCACTGGCAGAATTCTTAGCATGAAAATGTTATTATTACTTCTGTGTCAGCAGAAATGTATGTGACACTGTGAAGAATCTGTCAAGAGGGAGTCTGTGCCTCTGCAAGCTTACAGTCAGCGGTCCTGATCCTGTAACTTACTCTGCACCGTCCCTTCCTTAGGGAAACCTAAGCTACCAAGATCAGGACATGGGGACAGTGAAACAGGAAGGAAGAAGGTAAGGTTTAGGAAAGTCTGTTTGGTTTGTTATTTACTGAGTGGATGTTTTGTTGATCTGGTTTATGTGTATAGCTCTAAAATGTGCTTCTTTTCTACATCGTGTTATTTTCAGACTGGTTGAGTAATCAGTACTAGTTACTGTTACCATCAGGAAAAATCAGACCTCAGCCAACTGCCAACCTGGTTACAAATCATGAAACCTACCATAGAAAAACCAAACCCAAACATTAAACATCGCTTTATGGTTGAAAATATTTGAGGCATAACACCCTCCATCCCCCACACTGAAATCAAATACCGTGAACTGTCAACACTGGGTTAATTATTCTGCTGGTGGTGCCAGTAGTCCTGCATTTCACAGGTAGCTTCTGCATTGCAAATATAAGAAGCAATTTTTCAAAATTTGTCTTGCTGTGTGATAGCAACTTTAAATGTAACTCTGACTGTTCTGTCAAAAGTTGCTTTAAAAAAGTTGTGTTCTGTGCCATAGTGCCATACTTTTGGTGACTCTATCATGCAAATGGAAATGCTGGAACATTGGTGTTAAGTGGGCATAAGCAAAGAGCCTCTAAAGCAATGCAGTGAGTCAGCATCCATCCTTTATGTTGAATTGCAAACTGTGAATACATGAGGAGCTGATAAAATTGTTGAAAACTGGAGAAGTACATTACTGCAAGAAATTTATATCCTAGTGTTGGCCATTTTGCATTACAAATAACACAGCTTTCTACAGCTTGACTCCATTGCTCAAAGTCCTTGTGGTTGGAGCAGATGTTATCTATTGACCAGAGTGGCTGTACTCTTCTTTTTCTGCTTTTGGGGTGATACCTGGAAAGGAGAAAAATATGTGTTCAGCAGGAGCTGGCTGTGTGGTAGCTGTGTATACAGAGGGCTGGATGGTTGGACAGGTGTGGCCTGCCACCTTCATGAATCAACAGGCTGTCTGCTTCTTAGTGAGAGCTCAGGTGAGCTCAGTGAGCACTTCAGTGCCTTGGATGTGCCGGGCAACGGTGGATGGTACATACTGATAATTTAAATTAGTTTTCTAAAGCACACAGAGACGCTGGGATGGAATATACCGATATTAGAAAGTATTCTTCCCTTGCTTTTTGTAAAAAAAATGTGAAGTGGGGGAAACATCTATCTTCTGTGTAGAGTTGCTGCCTTTGTTTTGGTTGTTATCAGGATGTTGTTTGCTATGAGGCTCTGCCAAGGTCAGTCAGTGGCAGTGTTCTCTCTGCTGGGTTGCCCTCAGAAGTTTTCATCAGGCCTGTTAATATCTGTCACTGCACTATAGATCTTTTCACAGGTCGATGTCTCCTACCTTGGGCAGCACATTTTCAATAAAAGCAGTCGCGTCTCCCTGGTTTTAAATAAAAGTTTTAAGAAAATGGATTGCAGTCTGCCACTGCCAGCAGTTGCTCAGAATTCTTCATGACCTTTCCTTTTTTCAATTTACTGTTCAAATTTTGCCTCCCCACCTCCTGGTAATATTCCAGATTTTCTTTGCTTGGTCTCAGGGTGACAACACAACCTTTGCTGTAGATCAGTTCAGCAAGGACTTTGTAAATATCCTACAAAGTATTCATAGGTCATCGTTGTATTTGTGGTCATCAAAGTATTCAAATAGGATCTCTGGGCTTTTGCAGAAAGGCTGCTGTAAGATTGATTTACTGGAGCTGCATAGGTTATCTTCATTTTGGGGAAATTAACTGTTTTTTTCTTTCTTGGAAAAGCAAGTTATTTTTGCTACTATCAGAGTGTCACCCTTGCTGACCCGGCTATTCAGGGCATAAACAGAACAGCTGTGCTCTTGGAGGCCTCACAGGATCCAGGGGCCAAAGCTAATGATTAGCCAGACATACTGCTCTTTGCACCAGACCTAAATGCAGTCGGCTGCGAAACGCTTCTCACTGCCCATAAGGTGTGAGAATGAGCATATGTTTCCGATGGGATGTATAGGAGCAGAAAGGCCTATGCCAAGAGGCAGAGTTTTGCAGGCAGTCTTGGATGTCTGATGTGAGGCTTTTGTTGCTCCCCAAAATGGTGGTCTCTTCCAGTAGAGTTCAGGCAGTAGGACTGTTGTTTCCTGACTAAACAGGACTCTGCTTTGGCCAGAACTTTCAAGTTCAGCATCTTTCAGTGAACATCAGAATTCACATGCATCAAATTATTTTTTTTTCTTTTAACTCAGAACATGGAGGTCATACAGAACAATCAGTCCGCTGTCCTCTGCCTTCTGCTGGGTATCTTCTGAAGGCGGAGTGCCTTCCTTTTGCTGTTGGAGGGACTTTGTATTTTGGCTTTTCTTTTTTCAGCATTGGAAGGTTCTTTTCAGCATACAAAGGAAATGTGTCATCACCGAAGCACTTAACGGAGTTCAGTTTTAAGGGCTGCCATCAGGGCTGCTGAGGTAGCTGGTGCAGCAGGGCTGGGAATAAGACATCAGCTCTAGGTTCATGTCTGTCACCTTGGAACAAGGTAGGGCTGACTGTCCCTCCCATTGGGGTGGATGTGGGAGGCGGGAATCTACAGGCCTCAGTGTAAACACCAAGTTTTCACAGCAAAGCAAAGCCAAGTTTGGCTTACACTTCCTTTGGGGTGCATCTTTCCCTTTTTCTCAGACCAAGCAGTTTTGTAGTGGCCAGCTTTGGTTGTAAAAGGCTGAGAGGAGACTCAACCTCTTTTCCATGCGGGTGCCTGCGTACAGGCACAGGGTGGTGAGGTGGGAGGATGCAGTGCCTCACGTATTCTGGCTTGCCAGAGCCAGTGCCACTAGATGGCAATGTGGTACTCTGGTACCTTTTCCTTCCCGTACAATAATTGCTTTTTCTGTATTTATCTCTGCCAAACTGGTGATTGCACCCACCACCCCGGCAAAAGAACAGAACAAAATCATTTCATAGAACATTACAGCCATTGTGCCTTTTTCTTTTCTTTTTTCCTTCCCTTACCCCACACCCCCAACCCCAGTTCTTTGTCCCACAGCGGGGTGCAGAGGTTTAAAAACTTTCTTAATCTTTCTCCTTCTAAAAACAGAGAAAACGCAGTCTCTTGGGAGCAATTAGCTGTGAGAAAAGCATTTCTCAAACAATTGCCAGGAAATATTGTCTTGACCGATATTCCTGATGTAACACTGTCGTTCTCAGTACTGTTATTCTAAGATACTTGCCTGCAGAGCCAGCAGGGTACGGTTCTGTAATGTATGATCTGCAGTTTACCACCTACCTTACCTTTTTATATCCATTTACTTTCAGTTTGTGTCCTCCTTGCACCCCCTGCAGATATTCTGCTGGGGAGAGTGAAGAATTATTTGTGACTCTCCTCTTGTGACTGGTGTATCGCGCCAAGGCTGCAACAAGATACGGCTGAAAATTAAGGTTATGCCTCTGCTGTGCCGGCTCCAGATTGAAATTCTCTGGCAGTGCTGTGGAGGAGGTCAGGCTGTGTGATTACAGCCATTCCTTCAGACTCAAAAGCTGGCAGCCTTGGTGTACGTGAGGTTGATGAAGCCTGAATTTCAGAGGGAGCAGCTTGAGAGAAGGTATACGTGGAGCAGACAGCAGCTGTGTGCTGAAACTGGAGTCCTGACCCTGAAGCCCTTTCCCCATCGCTGTGTTCCTACAAGATGGACGGGGCTGCGGAGAGTGGAGAGGTCAGAGAAATGGGGATAAACTCACACCGAAAGCTAAATCAGCAGTGTCTAGAAAGCACTGCTAGCGAGGTGTGCATACACTCATGTCCATTCACATGTACAGCCATATTTGTTTGTATTATGAGGCTCAAATTCTGCCCCTCTTTACATATATTCATGGAGATTTGAGAAATGAGCCTCACTCTGTGGGACAGGGTGTGAACTGAAGCACCTTCTGGAAGACAGACAGCAGTGTAATCCTTTCATTCAACCCTGTCTGCAGCTGCTTTTTATAAACTTGGCATAAATACGTACTCAGTGAGGCCAGGCCTGTGTAGCTGGAAAATATTTTCCACCATCCAAAAAAACAGAAGATTGGAAAAAGAGCCCAGAAATTGTGCATAACATGGAATGGCCTCGCTTGTGGTTTTTTTCCATGACTTCCTCAGCTCATTTTTCTGCTGCCAATTTTAGAAGCCCATAAGTCATACTTGTTAAACTTTCTCAGTTAAAATGTAACTCTAAGAACAAAGTCATATGATATGTTGCAGCCAAATAATCCTTGTGGAGCCTCTGGCTTGAGAACAGCCACCCTCTCACAGACCTGCAGGGCTCTGTCTTCGGGCCGGGGGCAGAGAGTGGCACAAGGCATGGCCCCTTGACCACAGCAAGAGGTTCTCCCTGCTTTTGCTAGGACAGTTGAGCCCGTGGTGGGTTACACTGTGGAGCAGTTGGTTTGGAAGGGGAGAAGTTTCAGCTTCTCTAGAAGCACTTTAAACAGGAGGTAGGCAGAGGGAGTGAGAGGAGGCAGTATGGAGGCCAGTGGAATCCAGCAGTGAAACACTGGGAAGCTGGTACAGGTAGGAGCTGTTGCCATCAGGGCAAACTAGCTGAGGAGAGAGTGCCAAGAGTGAAAGTGAATTTGCTGGAAGGTTTGAAGAAGGGGCATCCTCTCTTGGGTGCATTTTTAAGCATTGAATCAATATGGAAGTACTTGCTTGCCAGGAGCAATATTTTCCTTTTCCAGTTTTGCTCTCTTATAAGGCGATTGTGCTCACATCTGAGCCCTGAATGCTTGTCCTCAAGACCATCTCTCTGTCCAGTTTCTGCTTTGCTCCCACCCGAAGGACAAATCCCAGGTCACTGCTGCAGAGGGGAACTGCTCTAAATTTACACTTGGGCAACAGCTTGAGGGTGGAACTGGCTGTGAGCTCTGCCAGCGGAATCATTCCAGCCAACCTTCTCTGAGGCAGCATGTGTCCTCAGTGCTGCTGGCCCCAGTCTGTGCCTCTGAGGCCTGATGGCTTCCATCAGCTACCTGCAGGGAGCTGCTGTGCCATGGGCAAGCAAGCCTGGAAGCCAAG